TCGTCCTATTGTTTAATTCTTGCTTCATTCCACTGTATTAGACAACAAACTCTATGATTTCAACCCTTTAAAATTTATTGAAACTTGCTTTATGACCCAGTATATGGTCAATTTCAAAAGGATGGGTATTCTGCAGTTGTTACGTGTAGTATTCAATGTATGTTGATGTTTTATTAATAATTTTGTAGAAATATTCTATATTCTTACAGACTTTTTTACTTGTTCTATCAGTTGCTGAAGAAGGTATGTTTAAATCCCCCACTATGATTGTAAATTGTCTATTTCTCCTTATATATTTGTCAATTTTTATTTATGTATTTTGAGGCTTTCTGGAAAATTGATCTTTTATTGTTATAAAATTTCCCACTAGGAATATTTTTTGCCCTAAAGTCTACTTGACAGATATTATTATAACAGTAACGGCTTTCTTTTAGTGTTTGAATGGTATCTCCTTCTTCCATCCTTTCATATTCAATCACTTTAATCATATTTGATGTGTGTCTCATATAAGCAGCATACAGTTTTTTTTTCATTCCAGTCTGATAGTCTTGTCTGTTAACTAGAGTATTTACTTCATTTATATTCAGTGTTATTATGGAACTACTTGGTTTACATCTACCATATTACTACTTGGTTTCTACTATTTCACCTGTTCTATTTTTTTTTTTCTATTCTTGACTTTTTTGGATTAAGTAAATATTTGCCAGTTAATTGTCTTTATACTAAAGCTTAATAATTATATCCTCTTTTATTATTATTTTCATGCTTGCCCTAAAAATTATAGCATGCACCCTTGATTTGTTAGAATATATTATTTTAAAAAATTCTTTAACATCTACCCAAATAATACAAGTGTCCTACGATACTTGAACTCCATTTTGTCACTACCTTATCTGGGATTGTTATGTATTTTAATTCTATTTATCTTAAATCCTGAAAGATATTATTTTATGCAATCAATATCTAGCTATATTTTTCCACACATATGCTCTTTCTGTTGTTCTTATTCTTTCTTGCTTCTCTGCTCTTCCAAGTAGGATCATCCTTCAATATTTTCTTTAAGGCAGGTCTCTGGTGATTAGCTTTGTTTTTGTTTGCTTGAAAATAGCTTTGCATGTTTTCTTTTCGGTGGTTTACTGTTAGTATAGAACTTATTTTTCTTCAGAAAGATGTATGTAACATTTCATTGTCTTTTAGCTCTCATTGTTTCTTTTGAAAAAGACAGATATCAATCTTATTGTTGCTTCTTTGAAGGTAATACGTGTGTTACTCTAGCTGCTCTTAAGATTTCCTCATTGCCTCAAATGTTCAGCAGCTTTATTATCCTGTGTCTTGCTTTGGTTTTCTTTTATATCTCTAGCTTGGAGTTTACAATATTCTTTTAAACCTTTGCCTTCATATCTTTCATCAGTTTTAGAAAATTCTGTCATTTAATTCTCAAAATACTGTATTTCCCTTTAAATCTGAATGTAGGCCCCACAAAATTGTCACAATCTTGATAGCTCTGTGATACCTTCAAACACATACACACACAGTTTTCCAGTTGTATTCAGTTAGTCTGAAACAAACTAATAAACAATTGTACAAAGCAATCTTTAAAAATCAAACCATATTAGATCACTCTCTTACCAAAAAAAAATCTAGTCTCATCATACCTAAAATAAAATGCACAAATGTCACTTTATTTAGAAAATCATCATTATCTGACCCATCTGTATCTTTGACTTTATCTTGTATTACTCCTGCTTAGTCCAGAATTTTCTAACTGAGTTGGTATTTTTCTATATCACTAACATGCCAAGCTGATTTTCATCTTGGAATCTTTGTACTGTTCACTTTGCTAAAATTCTCCAATTAATTAACAAGGGCACTTCCTTCTTATTTTTCCATTTTAAGCTCAAATGTCCCCTCTATCACAATATAGTCTTTAATTAACCTAAAGTACCCAAAGGTATTCTACATAATATCACTCTTATTTTAATCTTGTATGTATCACTTATCAATATCTAATTGTTGAATTCATTTGTTTAATGTCTTCAAAAAAGTAGGCAGGCACCTCATCTATCTTGTTCACTACTATATTTCCGAAGCATGAAACGGTGCCTAACCCTTTAGCAGCTGTTCAATATTTGTTAAATGAATGAATGAATCAATGAATGAATGTAGAGCTCAGGGAAAAGGCTATGCCTGGAGGTATCAATTTTGAAGTCATCAGATAGATGGTATCTGAAGTCACGAGATCCAATGAGATTGCCTCAGAAAGGTGTGTAGATTTTTTTTTTAAAAGAAGGTGTAAGACACAGGCATAGATATTTCCAACCTTTTAAGATTGAGCAGAAGAGAGGTTAGCAAAAATTACTGAGAGAGAGCAGCATTCAATAGGTAAGAGGAACATCAGAAGAATATGGTGTCATGCGATCCAAGAAACAAAAAGATTCCCTTAAGAAAGGAATGGTTGATTCTACTTCACATACCAAGAAATTAAGTAAGATGATGATGATGAGGGTGATGATGGAGAAATGACAGTGTATTCAGCAACTTGGAGGTCACAGATGATTTGACACAAAGCAGTTTCAGTAGAGTCTTGGTGATAGAAAATTGAGAAAAGCAGGTTAAAAAGAAAATGGATAACATTTTAAGAGAGAAAGCAGAGAAAACTTTTCCAAGACTCCTGTGAAATGAAGCAGTTAATTAGGTTAGTATGATGTTGGGAGAAATATTGAGGTGGGGAGGAATATTGGATCAAGGGAAGGGTTTTAAGATGGAAATACTCCAGTATATTTCTGTGATGATAAAAATAAACTAGTAGAGAAGGCAACAGAGTGGAGGTAGGGAAAAGGGACTAAGTTTAGGGATATTTTGAAAGTAGAATCAATAAAACATGTTGAAATAGATATAGGATGTAAGAAAAGGAGAATCAGAACTAATTTTCAGGTTTGTGACTTGAGCAATCAGGAAGACAGGAATAACTGGGGAGCTGAACGAGGAGACTAAGAAAAAAGTAGCCATTGAGGTTGCAGAAGAAACTTGAGAGTGCGGGGTCTCTGAAGAAGGATGCAGCCAGTTGCATCAAATGCTGCTGATACGTCAAGGAATATGTAAAATTAAAATGGATATGTGGATTTAGAAAGATGAAGGATTTTTTACTTGGTGAGAGTTTTAATACATTTTTTAGAGAGAAAAATACTTTGAGTAAAGGAAAACAAGAATAAGGAAGTAAAGACAGAATGTATAGGCACATCTTTTGAGGAATTTTGCTATAAAAGGGAACAGATAAATCAGATGGTACCTAAAGGCAGGTATGAGATTGGGGGTGGGGGAGAGATGGGAAGGTAGGTGTTAGATAAGAGATATTTCAACATGAATATATGCTGAAGGGAATGATCCAGTCAATGAAGAAGAATTAATGATGCAGAAGAGACAAGAGGCAACTGCAAAAGCAAAATATTTGGATAGACAAGAGAGAGTGGGGCTCAGTGCCAAAGTAAAGGAGAGGAGCCCAGACAGTTCCTTCACGCTAAATGAAGTGAAGGCAAGGTACATAGATATAAATGTAGTAGATTGGGAGATCAGATATTGAGAGAATGAGGAAACTCTTTTCCAATGGCTTTGAGGTTCTCAGGAATAAAATTCAAGGACATCTTCTGACATAAAGGAAAGGGATAAGTTGGAGGTTTGGCCAGTGGATATGAGTTGGACAAGTGGATGTATACAAGGAGCATTCAGGGAGGTTAACCATTATGTCTAGCCATGATAAAAAGGGAAGTGAGTATATAAAGCAGTAAATATACCCTTGAGACTGAGATTTTGCATATGGCACAAGTAAAGATAAGTTCAGGGTCTAGAATATCACCATAAATAAGTCTGGCTGAAAATAATCACACATTTTAGAAGGGTTTTTGTAAGAAGCATATAATTTTTAAAATTCAAACTTTACGATCTATATTTTAACTGGCAAGATCTGGTCTATTTTACAAGTATTATAATTAATAACAATACAATTATATGTAATTCTACTAATTTATTTTATGCTTTCTGTTTACTGTTCTTTTTCTATGCTGCTTATTTTCTTCTTTCCCAGCTTCTATTCTATTATTGAACTTGATTAATTCCCACTTTTCATCTCTAATGGTTTAGAAATGGTAAATTCCATTCGTTTAGTAAATACCCATAAACTTACCAAAATACGTATATGACTTAACCACAGCAAAATTCATTAATATCTAGTTCCTCGTACCAAACAACCAAAGGTCCAAAAATGGTTTCGTTCTGACTACTACAGTAATGTCCTTAACATTATTGTCTTCTATAATATTTTAGTTTCACCTGGTTTTGTAAGTCCTAATAAAGTATTATAATTCTTTATACAATACATGCTTAGATTTATTGACATGCTTACTAATTTCTTCACCAATGAGATAAACTGAACATTCCTTAAATGGCAAAATGAAACCCAACTAGAAAAACTTTTCAAATATTGAAGAGCTTTAAATACATCTTATCCAATTAAATATTATAAACTTCGTGACATGTTTTTAAAAAAAATAAATTGCATAAATATTCATTGAGAATCTTTCCATATGGCTAACTGGCTTTCAGAGAATTGAGTCTTAGCAAATGAATCATTTATTAAGTTGGCTTTTGGAGAATAAATTTTCAGTAAATTTGTATGAATAAATTTTACTGCTTAAAACAAGTCAGCCTTTCTAAATTCTTATTATGAGCAGTGGCAAAATTAGCAAGAGAAATGATCTTATCTAGAGCACACTGAGGTCCAGGCCAAAAAAAAAAAAAAATGGGCAATTTTATTTAAGTAAGTAAAACTCTATGCATTTTCTTTACGTAGTTGGTAAAGAGAAATTTCTCATGACCATCTTCTGTTCTTAAAGATGGATTACTTAGGGGAAAATGTAGGTTTAAAGTGTGGGAAATGATTATAATAATATGACTAAGAAAAAAATATACAAAAATATAAGCACATTTTCATTTCCTCTTTCTAGGTTCACATATATTGCCAAAATATGTCCACTCTCCTGGAAAACATCTTTGGCATCATTGATCTTTTCATGAAATATTCAAAAAAAGATAAAAACACTGAAACACTGAGCAAAAAAGAGCTGAAGGAACTTCTGGATAATGAGTTTCGGCCAATCCTGAAGGTAAGAGTTTCTGACAAGACCAAAGGATAGAGCATTTCTGCTTCTCTTCAATAATCTAAGCAAAGGTTATTTTGAGCTCTGTATAAACTGCCTCTCTTAAAATAGGAAAAGAGTTTGTCTTGTCTCAAAAAATACGAAATTTGTTTTTCTCTCCTATACCTAAATATATATTATAAACATACAGACATGCTAAATGAAAAAAAAAACCATGAATATTTAATTTAAAAATTAATGTAAAGTAGATCTTAGTATTCGGTATTTATAATATTCTCCCAACATCAACATTATTAAGAGAGTATATATTAAAGAAAACTAAATAACGAATTATATATGACTCTGACTTTTAAAATAAGTAAACAAGGCACTTACCCCATAACATCTTGATACCTTACTAGTTTTTAAAACATTTTTGTTCATATCTAACATCTGAGTGAGAATGAGATGAAAAATCTTTAAAAGAAAAACAGAAAGACTTCATCCCATTTTTTGATATTTAGAGATCAAATTTCCTAAATTAACTTGGAATTAATTGGCTGGCACTGTAACTGTCTGATGCAATCTCCCTCTGTGAATTCCCTCTGTACAGAATCCAGATGACCCAGATACAGTTGAGGTCTTCATGGACAACCTGGATATAGATCACAACAAAAAAATTGACTTCACTGAGTTTCTCCTGATGATATTCAAGTTGGCTAAGGCATATTATGAGTTGAACAGAAAACAGAATTTATCTACATCAGGACACAGGCGCAAAAGGCACAGTCATCATGAGAAACACGAAGATGACAAAGAGGAAGAAGAAAAACAAAAGAAAATCAGACCCTCAAGTCTGGAAAGAAACAAAAGAAAAGAAAATAAGGAAAGATCCAAGAGCCCAAGAGAAAAAGGGAGAAAAATACATGAATCACTGCCTGAGAAAAAAGGAAGAAAAGAATATTCACCTACTCAGAGAGGAGAGGAAAAACATGGAAAAACACGCCATGAGTTAAGGAATAAGAAGAGAAACAAGACTGACAATAGCAGATTAGAAGACAAAGAAGAGGAACGAAGCGTAAGTCCCTATAGAAGAGAAGAAGAAGAGGAAGAAGAATTTGATTATGAAAATACAGGAAGAATGATTGAAAAATGGAGAGAAACAGGAGATACTGCCACATATTACACAATTCAGAATAAAGTGTATGATGCAAATGATAACCAAAGAGAAAAACACAATAAACTAAAGCCAGCAAGTACATCTTATGATCAATCATCATCTCAAGAAGAAAGGTCTGGATATGCAGATTCGAATCAGAAACAATCTTCAGCGGCCAGAACCACTAGGCACCGGGGATCCAGCGTTAGCCAGGAGAGCCACAGCGAGGGACACTCGG